GGAACGAAAAGCTCCACAAAAAGCCTTTATCAAACATGTGGCTCTCTAATAATAAACAATAATAAACTGGAGTCTCCCGCGAGCTAACCTGAGCTAACCCCTGTTGCTCCGTGTTTACTTCTGTAGCCTGCAACAGCGTGCTGCTTGTGACGTCTTGTCATTTTTCTGCGCATGCGGGTCACTTTCAGGCAATTCAGACTGGAGTTCGATGCGGGCCACATTTAAACTATAATGTGAACTGTCAAACAAAAAAAATCAGATCTGGGAAAAAAATCGGAATTGAGCGTTAGCGTTAAGACCTGCAGTCTGAACGTAGCCAAAGTAAGTAATAGGACAGTTCTTGTTATGCAATTGTTATTTTCAACAATGTGCAACCATTTCTTCCACATTCTGTCCATTGTAATGTACAGTGCAACATCTCTGCAAACTCTCAGAAGATGAAAACTTGAGGATCCACAACAATCTGTCCGTCCAGTTTCACAATCTGACACAAGCCTATACTGTCTTAGAAAGTAAGATTGTAAAACTGACTGCAGAAAACCAGAACCTGACATCACAAAACCAGCAGCTGGAGTCACAGAGGAACAACTTAACAGAACAAATACGAAACATGGAGACAAATTGGAATGAGCTCAACGTCAGTCGAGCTCAGTGGAGCATTGATGCCTACTGCCCAAAACCACAAAACCAAAGTATGTTCAGATCCTGTTATTAAGGTAAAAAATAATACTAATAACATAATGCAGTAACAATGTTTATTGGTTGGTCTCTGTTGTTTCAGACAGACAGTGTAAAGCTTGTCAGGATGGCTGGTTACCTCCCAGTCCAGCTGCTATGGGATTAATGACCCTGATGTTTCTGGTCAGAAAACCTGGGAAGAAGCTCGAGAAAACTGCAGAGGAAAGATTTCAGATTTGGTTGTTATAGCTGATCAAACAGAGAAGGTAATGAGAAATTTATGACAGCCTACATTCAATGAAAATGTATTTTCACACTGAGTTTGTAGGCCACAGTGTGTTAATTTAAGTATAGTGTTTAAATATCTGATAACTGTCTCTCTGTTGTCAGACATTCATCAATGATAACAGTTGGGGCAGTTCAGGAACCAAGGGATACTGGATTGGCCTGAGAGCTGAAGATGGGAAATGGAAGTGGGTCGATGGAAGTGATCTGACTGAAAAGTAAGAGACACATTCATAAACATTTTGAAGCATAAAATCTATCAGCCTGCATCTAAACATCATGTTCTTCCCTCAGCTCCTGGATACAACAACCTGCTACCAACGGTCAGTGTGTAATTTCTGTCCAGAGAGAAGGATGGAAATCAGTGAGCTGTGGTGACAGAAACAGATGGATCTGCAAAAGAAGGCTTTATCTCTTTAAACACTGCAGTCATACTTGAGAAGGTTACTGGGGACTCTGTAAAGATTCATTACATGGAAGACAAAATCAACCGGCTTATAAATATTAAAGTACAAAGACTTTTTAACTCTTGTTTTTCAAAACACAATTTATTTAAAATATTTTTACATTTTAATAGAAACAAGCAAATAACTTATTAGTAGTAAAAAAGATTATAAACCTGTTTGTGTATTGCTTTTGTGTTTCACTGCAGAAAAACAGACACTCAGATCTAATGTATATGAGCAGTTAAATAATGGATTATTTTTATTTATATTTTAAATACAGTCACTGAATGTGCTTTTCTTCTGCTTTGTTAGAGATGCAGTGCTTATGATTTGTGCAGTAAAGATCTCCAGTTTATTCCCATTTTTATTTACCCCTTCCACCTATCCTCACATCCTCACTTTCTTTCCTTCTTTTCATATCACTGATTGGTTCTTGCTTTCACCTTTCATCTCTCCTCGTTCACCTGTTCACACTTTGTTTAGGGACCGCACTCCTTTTCACTCACTCTTTGACTTTCACATTTCTTTTTTCTCAAATTATTATTTTGATTTATTCTTGAAATGAGAACACATCATTGACATCAATAGATGCCACATGCACATTTAAAGAGGTTGCTTCCTCAAATAAAAGACACAAAACAGTAATAATAATGTATAATGTACTTCGCATACATCTAAGACAAGGAAAAAGGATCTTATAACGGGTAAAAAACGTAAACGTAAATGTACGAGCTTCAGTGTGGTTTGCAGAGGTCCACAGCTATGGAATGAAATTGATTATACTATAAAAATACTACAAAAGGACCTTAAGACGGCAGCTACTAGAAATAGATGTTCAAGCTACAATTACTTAATGGCTGGGGACAACATTTAGATGATGATTTGTCTTTTGATTGTGGAATCTGTTTAAAATGTACTGCAAATCTTATTTATCAGAGTTTCTATTCAATGTACGTTTACCTACCTAATTAATGATGGACTGATACAAATTTTTATATTCTTGTCTGTTTGTTTAGGGACCACTAGGATTACGGTAGCTTAGTTTTTAGGGTATTATGTTGGTACATTTTTGGAATACTTAATTGTAGTATATATTTAGATAATATCTTAATAGTTTAAATATATGTTAAATTATTTCCTTACTTTCTGGGCCCTTAGATACAAGCTTGAGATAGCTTATATGGGTGTCACTATTCACAAATCAGTATAATTTTTATGATTGTACTGTAATATAATGTCTTGTTGTTGTGAATAAAGTATTGAATGAATGCATTCCTGCACTTTGTTAAATTTTTATATTTTGAATGTATATTTTGTTACCCGCTGTCTGAAATGATGGAATTCAGTAAGTGATTAATGCTCAAATTGTTCTGTGGGAGGACCCCAGTTTGTCTGAATACAGATCACCTTATTTGGTCACAAAACAAAGAAAATACCACTATCACATTATTGATCACCTATGCCTCAATGAAATCACAAGTTGTTTGTATTGACTAAAATTACCTCCCTGCTGTTATATGCCTTTGCCAATGAGTTAAGTTGCAGTTTGTAACCATCACTTTCTGTAGTGTTGTAGTACTCGAGACCAGTCTTAAGACCACTTTTTGATGGTCTTGGTCTCGTCTCGGATTCGACCGCATTAGTACTTGGTCTTTCTTGGTCTTGGACATTGAGGACTCGGGATTATATTTCAAGACCAGTGAAGACCATAACTTTGGGAGTATCAATACAATGCTTTTGCATTGTCTAATTTATTTGTTAACATACTTCCTTTGACTGGATGTAAAACTCATTGCTTCAAATGCAACCAATAACCCTAATGAAAAATGTGTTGTTCCCATTAATGACTGTCCCCCCTCCCTGCGATCGTAAACATGGAAAAGGAGTGTTGAATAAAGACGCTTGTGTTGATTTCAGCTCTTAGTGTTTGTATGTGGGTGTTTTAAAGGGAATGTGGATCTTTCAGTTCCATCAATTTGAGAAGTACCTATGATCTCGTTCCACATTTTATTGTGTGTGTGTAATGTGGGGAAATGGTCTGGACTCGGTCTCGCTCTCCCTCGGTCTTGGTCTCGACTTGGTCTGAGCCCCTAAAAGTCTTGGTCTTGTCTCGGTCTTGATAAACTCTGGTCTTGGTCTTGACTACAACACTAACATTCTGTACCTGCTTCACTCTATTGCACTGCAGCTGCTCTCATCGCTTTTCCTGCTAAAAAAGCACTCTGAATCTACAGAGGCCTATTTTTTTTAGAACAGTTTTGTTCAAGCCAGACCAGGGGCCTGTACCACAAAGCAGGATTTGAGCTTACCCTGATAACTTCGGGGTTAACCCTGGGTTTTCAGTACCAGTTAACTTCTTACCAGGGTAGATGGCCATGGTAACTAATACAGAACAGCACATTTTCAGTGTGTATGTGCGCACATTGTCAGTGCGTGTGTGACAGTTTTATTGTGATAACTAATAAGCGTATGTTACGATAATAACTAGGTTAAATTTGGCTAGGATTAAACTAACGGATTAAAAGACTATTGGACATCTACTCAACCACAGAATGCCGTTGGTTCCTTACTGCTTGTTGTTTCTCCGGTTGGTTGGTGTTCGGCCGGCCTCACGCTGCACTGTAAAAATGTTTGTAGAATTTGCGGTAAAAAACTGTCAAATAGCAACAGTAAAAGACCATAAAAATAAAAATAGTATTTCACCGTAGTAGATACAGTGACCTTTTTTCTGTGTCACCTATCCACTGTCTCAGAGAGTAGTCAAGAAATGAGGTCTCTTTAAGTGGATCCATCCATCGTCAACCGCTTACCCTGCGTACAATCCCAGCTTACATCGGGCGAAAGGCAGGGTACACCCTGGACATGTCGCCAGTCTATCACAGGGCCAAACAACCCAGACTCACACCTTAGGACAATTTAGGGTCACCATTCAACCCAGGCCACATGTCTTTGGATGGTGGGAGGAAGCCGGAGCATCCGGAGAGAACTCATGCAAACTCCACACAGAAAGGCCTGGAACAACAACCCACAACCTTCTTGCTGTGAGGCGACAGTGCTAACCACTGCACCACCGTGCCGCCCTCTTTAGGTAGAGTTTATACAAACATTGACAAGGAAGGGAAACATGTTTATTCTCGCTGTGATTATGGACCCTCGCCAAAACTGCCCCCCAGCAGTAAGATCTGGCCTGTGGACAGATTATGGTGATTTGATAGCATCAAAAAATAAAAGTTAAAAAATACTTTGAAAGTGCTGCCTGCTTGATACACCTCTGAAAGAGCCGTCAGAAACGTGATTCCCCTAAATCTCTGCCTGGAGGTACTGGGGAAATGAAAAAGCATCCATAGGTTGATGGATGTGGATCAAACACCAGAACACACTCACTGCAGCACATGCTTTGTTGTGAGTATGTGAAACAGTCCTTCAGTAAGTCTCAGTTATTAGGGAAGTATCATTTTGTGTGTTTTACTAAGAGGAATTTCATGTTTTTCTTTGTTGTGTCTTTAGCTTTGTCAGAAAAGAACAAAAAGGAAGCTTGTGAAATGTCAGTGTCGTAAGATATGGAACTTGTGTCTGACTTCTCTTCTCAGTAACACAGTATTACAGTAAGTCCCCCAGTTTACAGTTCAGATTTTCCTTAAAGCCCTCACACAGGACTGCAGCAGGATTTAAACATCTGTTCAAGATGAACAGAAAAGCACTGAAGGCAACTGGTAACAATTCTACTTTTAGTATTTTGTACATTTTTGGGGTGGTTTCCTCAATGTATGATGCTTCTGATTTTTGATTACACCTAAGCACCAAAGGATTTTAAAATGCCCAAATTCATTATCTGGTAAGGGAAATGTTGTTGTTTAGAAGTTAATGCTGAGTTGTTGTGATAGGTTGCCTCCTCATTAACCCATGCTGTTTGTCTGTAGCATCTTCTTACACTGCTGAACTGTATGCTTTTTCCATAAGGAAAGGAGTAGGATACTTTCTAATACACTGAAACATTGTCAGATTGTCATCTGCCTGTGATGCTTTGCAATTGCTTTTACAATGTCGAAACTGATTGAACCAAGCTGTTCCCCCTTTCTACCAGCAGGTGGCAGGAATTAAATGAAGGCCTGTACTGTGTCTTTATTAAACGTTTTGAATCCAGATTACTGATACAGATGTATTTATTGTTGTTCATTTCATTTGTTTTTTGATATTTATGTCTTATTTGCAGCCTAGTTATCATCTTCATCATTCACCCTCAGCGCAGAGTTAAACCTGCATGCCCTTCTGTTCTAACCTAGTTCTAATACTGCTGTCAGCTTCTCAGCAGCTCTGACAACAAGCACGCCTCAGAAATGTCCTATTGTCACCATCTGGCCAAAAGAAGGATTTACCAGTGTGCTTTATACTGTGAGAATCTTTCTTCTCCATACACATTCCAGTGTGTATAACATATAACACTCCCACTGTGTCATGCAAGTGAAGAGCAATCACAAAGGTTTTCCATACAACATTTATTCAACATATACAGTATAGCACATATATACTTTCAGTGGCATTAAATGTACAATCGATGGCTGTAGAACATTGACTCTGAAGCCATAAGGTAAGAACATTTTATGAGGTCCTCAAAAGAAATTCCAATAAAATAATTAAATTGTTTAAAAAACAGGTAGTCTATGCAGAGTATGTCAGCAATAACTGCAACAAAACGTTTTGGGTAACTTTGTCTGTAAAACGCTCTACCAAAACACTAAACAGAACTCAGGGTGTAAGGACAGGGCAAAGGTCAAAACTCTCAGAAGAAAAACAACAGAAAACAGCTGGAACTCTGTCACTAGGGAACAAGATGTCATCAGCGAGTAGTGAGTTTATACCCTGAAATGAGACACAAGATGAGTAACCCACAAAAAACAGGAAGTGGCTACAGATGAGGAAACTGAAAACATGACCTTAACTCAACATGACAATTCCACTGTTACGCCAGTGACCCACAGCTCTGTATCCCAATCAGACCTGGTGACCAGTCTAGTATCGAAACCCTTCACAAATACCTGAGTTAAAACAACTGGATGCCACACAACTTCCAACAAATAAATCTAATGTCACAGTATTCTGTCCCCCAGCTCGATGAACTCAAATCATGGCAAACCTAGGGGAAATAAGAACTTCTGCTAAGCCCTCAGCCAGGAATAGGGGTAGTTTGTGACCAGGGCTTGTGTTTTGAACCCCTGTAAAGAAAGTTGTTCAGTTATGTTTTCATCAAATATAGCCAAGGTTAAGTTTTTTATTTCAGCCACAGATCAGGAGAAACTTAGCCATGCCTTTATCTCCTCCTGCCTCGACTACTGAACTCCCATGATCTGTACCTCTCTCAGAGGTAATCGAGGAAGAAGCTGACTATGTTAATGCAGCAGCAGGTACCGTGGATAGAATGGTCACTTTGGGTGCATTATGAACATCATATATCATAAATGTAATATTGTTAAGCAGAAGATTCATTTATCAACCATGATGTTAAAAAATGTGATAGTGATGAAATATTAAAATGTAAATGTTTAATGGTTCCTCTTGTTCTACACACATACATACACATTTTACTACGTTATATCATGTTGTTTAAGTGTTACATCTGAATTCTTATTTTTCTGTCAGATCAGAAGTTCCTCTCCTTCACTCCGTCTTTTCCACCAGTGGCAGTGTGCTGGGTGATTCTGTCAGTGATTATGGCCCTTCAAATACACTGTGAGTACCTTCTATGTGAATGTCAGTTCAAATCTAAGTGTTGTTGTTTTAGTTTTTAAGATGGGTTCATATTTTTTGTCTGTTTTAAAACAATAGTCAGATGCTTATATGTACACTGAAACAGATTCAGTATGAACAGGGGAATAATTACAGCAAGAAAACACAGTTTCATTGTTCATCATTTTAAGATGGATTGGAAACGTGTGAACCTTTCCTTTAATGTCTTTTATGATCACAAAGCACTTCTTTATTTGTGATGTTTTAAAATGTGTTTTTTTAATAATCTTGCCTTTGAACAAAGTGTCAAAACCCAACACCTTCCTCTGTCTGCCATTGTAGTTACCTCTGTCATTTCTGAACACAACGCCAAGCTGACTGCAGAAAACCACAACTTGACATCACAAACCAGGATATGGAGACACATATCAACAACTTCCTTTTAAGAGGCAGAAACCTCGAGCAGAACCATGGCTCAGGGTGGGCGGCCATCTGCCTCGACCGGTTGGGGTGAAGGAGAAAGAGAGAGAGAGAGAGGGAGAGAGGGCAGGAGAGGAACAGAGAAAAAGAGAGGGATGGAAGGAGAGAGAGAGGGAGGCAGCCTACACAATATACACACAGAGGTACAGGTGATGTTGCTATAGACTAAATGAAAAATGGTACAGATATTTATAGTAGTGTTAATGAAAACAATTGTAATGTTAATGATTATAATAACAATAATAATAGGATTAGTAACAATAGTTGTTGTAGCAGAGGGTGTCGAGCAGGAACACAGGATCAGCAGGTGACCCGCAGCCACAGATCCAGACTCCACAGCTCCAGAGCCAGAAACACCTGCAGGAAGTGATAGGAGGAGAGAGGAGAGGGACGAGAAAGCACAAGACTACCGGAAAGGGGAAAGATGTGTTAGTAACATGCAATAATGGGATGAGGTTGCATACAGAGGGAGAGAAAGTAGAGGAGAGAGGAGCTCAGTGCATCATAGGAAGTCCCCCAGCAGTCTAGGCCTATAGCAGCATAACTAAGGGATGGTTCAGGACTACCTGAGCCAGCCCTAACTATAAGCTTTATCAAAGAGGAAAGTCTTAAGCCTACTCTTAAATGTGGAGATGGGGTCTGCCTCCTGAACCCAAACTGGAACCTGGTTCCACAGGAGAGGAGCTTGATAGTGTAGCATGGCTAAAAATTAGCTATGAATTTTAATAAATTCATGAGAATTAATACCCAGTTATGAATTTTAATATTCAGAAAATATCAAAAATCCATAAAAGCTCTCGTTAAAAAGGGCACCACAGGAGTTGTTATAATCCTAGAGTCTCCGGACCTCTAGGTAGTTTTAATAATTATACAATTATTACTAGTGATCAGTTAGTTAATAATCGTTTAATTATCTTAAATCAATCAGTCAGTCTCATATCTAAAGGGTCAATTCTCTTGGCAGGACGTGGAAATAGGCAACACACACAGTTCTTGATTGTATTACAGTGAATTTATTAATAACTAAAGCGATATAAACGGGTGGTTAAATACAGGGAAAATAAACAATGGCTGAACAATGAGAAATGGAGATTCGATTGTGGGAAGCATTTGACTCATACGGCAGAGGAGAACTAATGAAAGTAAGTTATGAGTTTAGGAGTTAAAAGGAAATATTAACATTTCGGTACATCTCTAGGTCTTACGGCTTGTCGACGGCCTGCTTTGGCCTGTTGCACGGGTCCCACGCTAGCCGATCCTGGCTTTTTGCTAGTTATTCTCCGGGGTTCTCCGTGTCTGAAGAAAATGCCGTCATCCCTCAGGCAATTCGGCTGTTTTCAGGTTTCCTTCGTTGCCGCTGGCGGGACCACGTGGCTTGGTCTGACCTCGGTGAAGTTGGCTCGACGAACAAGCTTAAAAGGGAACTTGGTCGTTCCTGAATTTGTAACTTAACGGACTGATAACTTTAACAAAACAAAAGAAAGAAAGAAAATAAAACAAACTGAGGGCAGATTGATGTCGCGGCACTTCACGTGTGTAGCTTCAAGTGAACAAAGGCCTGTTGCGCTGGCCGAACTCTTAGGGCGTTGCCTGGAGAGGCACGAGGGGAAGAGCAGAGAGAGCGAACGACGTCGCGTGTCGCTCTTTTGTTGCCTGGGGCGTGGTTCCCCAGAGGGAGTTTCAGGTTTTCCGAGGGACTGCCTTTCTAAACTTAATGCCTAAAGAAAATAAATATTTTGCGTGTACTATAATAAAAAAATTCCACAATCGAACCTCAATGGTCAAACGGTTGTACCGTTCTAAGTTAAGCATTTGGTAACAGGAAACAATTGTCACATTATTGGTCAGGATAAGTGGGTGACAATTATACATTAACGGCATTTCCAACGATGGTATGTAATACTTATTTCGTCCACTTGGGGGAGCTCAGGTTACATGAGAAAAGCTTTAGGATTTCCTGCCTTTCCAAGGAGATTCTGTTCAGGGAAATGCTAATCGCTGGTTTATGTCCCTTTGTCAGTTTAACAGTCAGGCACCGCTTTATCAGCTTCGTAGATCAAAAAGGTGCCAGTTTTATGGTCAGGGATAGCACTTAGAGAAAGCAACTTTTCCACCGCCCTTCCGTTGGGGTCTCTTTAGCAGTCTGTTGAAGCTGATCTTTAACCCCCTGCTCCTCTCTGGGAGAGGAAAAGAGGAATTTGGAGTAGCTCCAAATTTATTTAATATAAAATGCACAAATCCACACCATTGTCCCAATAGCTTGAACGCTCTGGCTCCTAGTCTACTTTTGGAGACTCTAGGAACCACAAGTAACCCTGCATTCTGGGAGCGCAGTGCTCTGGTGGGGTAGTAAGGTACTATGAGCTCTTTAAGATAAGATGGTGCCTGACCATTAAGAGCTTTGTAGGTAAGAAGAAGGATTTTAAATTCTATTCTGGATTTTACTGGAAGCCAATGCAGAGAAGCTAAGACAAGAGATATGATCTCTTTTCCTGGTTCCTGTCAGAACACGTGCTGCAGCATCTGGATCAGCTGAGGAAGAGTCTTAAAGCACTTTTTGAGCAGCCTGATAATAGGGAATTGCAGTAATCCAGCCTGGAAGTAACAAATGCATGGACAAATTTTTCTGCATCATTTTTAGACAGGATGTTCCTGATTTTCGCAATATTATGTAGGTGAAAAAAGGCGGTCCTTGAAATTTGCTTAATGTGAGACTTAAACGACATGTCCTGATCAAAGATAACTCCAAGATTCCTCACAGTGGTGCTGGAGGCCAGGGCGATGCCATCAAGGAAACTGTATCTTTAGATAATGCGTCACGGAGGTGCTTAGGCCCCAGAACAATAACTTCAGTTTTCTCTGAGTTTAACATTAGAAAATTACAGGTCATCCAGGTTTTAACATCCTGAAGGCACATTTGAAGTTTAGCTAACTGATGAGTTTCAGCTGGCTTCAGACAGACAGTGTAAAGCTGGTTACCCTCCCAGTCCAGCTGCTATGCGATTAATAACACTGGTGTTCCCCTTCGAGGGAACTCAAACTGCGTCGGTAGCTTGTGACAGCATAACTGGAGGCGTATATAAGCATGCCGGTACACCGGACACATTAGCTTTTTTCTATTCAGCAGGCACTCTGGTATGTTTGAGACTACGCAGAAGAAAGCTACCACAAGACGTTGCCTGGAAGGAGAAGCAGAGGAAATGGCTGGTGAGCAGTTCAGGCAGTGTGTCTTTCCATGCCCACGCTACATCACGGCTGGGGACACTCCTGCCCTGTGTGTTTCCTGTCTGGGGATGCCGCATGCCCAGGCAGCTCTAGAGGGGGCTGCCATTGCGAGGCTCTGCCCCTGAGTGTGCTGAGGTCCCGTGCGGCTCTTTTCTTCCGGAGACGGCCGGATGCGTTCTCCCCGTTGCTCGGGCCCGGCGGTCGCTGAGGCGGCACGGCAGCTCCGGTCATGGGGGTCCAGGATGGCGGCGGCTGCAGAGAGACAGTCCCAGCCGTCATCCAGCACCACCAGAGCCAGAGGCAGAGTGTCGCTTCTCGAGGCCCCCCTCAGTGCACCCGGGACTCGAGGCGGCGCTCTCGGCCACAGCCCCCCGAGACAACGGATCTGAGGACCGTTCTTCAGTCTCGCCGGGGTCGGGGGAAGAAGTCCTGAGAAGCGCCCCCCCCCCCGAGAGAAGGCAATCGAGGTCCCCTCCCTCGTGGCAGCTAAGGCAGCAGGCGCTGTTATCCCGCCGTGTCAACATTCGGGACGCGCTAGCCTCCAGCGAGCAAGCGCTGTTCTGCCTGCCCTGAGGGGCCGCAGTCCTGAGGTGCTCTGGCTCACACACCGCGGGTTATCGGCAGGTTTTCCCTGGCAGACCTCCGCTTCAGGGTGCCGCCGGAGACCTACGCATAACACCGGCCACCAACCCAGAGAGCAGAGCCAGGTGTTGGGACAAGAAGTTCGCTCTCTGCTGGAGAAAGGGGCCATAGAACTCATTTCCCCGCCAGTCAGGGAGTCCGGGTTCTACAGCCGGTACTTCATAGTTCCCAAGAAGGATGGAGGATTACGTCCATTTTTAGATCTGCGGTCCCTGAACCAATCACTGAGGAGATTCAGGTTCAGGATGCTCACCATCCCCGCCATCATCAGTCACATCCAATCCGAGGATTGGTTTGTCACGATAGATCTACGAGACGCATATTTCCACATCTCCATCCGTCCCTCTCACAGGAAGTTCCTGATGTTCGTCTTCGGGGACGCGGCGTACCAGTATCGGGTTCTTCCGTTCGGCCTAGCACTCTCTCCTCGCACGTTCACCAAATGTATGGATGGACCTCTGGCCCTGCTGAGGCTCCAGGGCATCCGCATATTAAACTACATCGACGACTGGCTCATCTTGGCTCAGTCTCGGAGTTAGCGGTTCGGCATCGAGATGTCGTCCTCGCCCACCTTTAGCGTTTGGGGCTGCGGCTCAACGCAAAGAAGAGCGTGTCATGGACGGCGCTTTGCGTGAGGCTCCTGGCAGGAGCATCATTTCTCTTGGCACATAAATTGCCTGCGCAATTCAGCACTTTTCTGCCCTCTCTCCGCGGTCGCCACGTCCTTGTCGGGACCGACAACACGGCGGTGGTGGAGTTATTATGCAAAAGGTTCGGCCCCATAGACGTGGACTTGTTTGCGTCTCGAGAGACTATGCACTGTCCCCTGTGGTTCTTCCTCTCGCCCCCAGCCCCGCTAGGGCTGGATGCCATGGTGCAGATGTGGCCGAGCTGCGCCTGTATGCCTTTCTCTCTGCTCCCGGGGGTTCTGGAGCAGGTCCGTCAGGACGGTGTCAGTCTAGTGCTGGTAGCCCCGTTTTGGCCGGCCCGAGTGTGGTTCTCGGATATAATATCGCTCCTCGAGGGCCCGCCATGGCATGTCCCCCTGAGGAGGGACCTGCTGTCTCAGGCGGAGGGCCAGGTCTTTCCCT